AATTATTCAAGGTTAACATCTAATTATTTCACCTTGGCAACAAGGTTTAGCTCTGCTAAATTCGCCCTCACAGATTCCAAGAGTTGTGTTGTGTCACTCTATTACAAGCTGTGTTGTGTGATAGCCCCACGTCGCTGAGTTTTCAGCTACCACACTGGACTAAGAGCATCCATGAGGAGATTGACCTTGGCACATTTTTATTTATTAGTCATCGTGTGTGGATCTGTGTGTGTGTTTGCGTGTGCAGGAGAACATAATGAATTATGTATAAATGCCTTGCAGTTAAAAAGCAAACCACGTACTGCAATGTATGCTATATTTATCCATCCATCCATTTTCTGCCGATTATCTGGGTGCAGATCATGGCGGCAGCGGCCTAAGTAGAGACACACACCTTTGGCAGCATGTTCCAGCTCTTCCAGTTTCCACACCAGCTGTGAGATGTAATCTCTCCAGCATGGCCTCGGTCTTCCCCGCGGCTTCCAAGCAATCACCTAGGAGGCATTCAGGAAGCATCCTAGCCTGTTGACCGGACCACCTTAACAGTTTCCTTTCGATGTGAACGAGTTATGCTGAGGTTCTTAGAATATTTTTAAGGGAGATCCCAACCACCCCTTGGAGGAAGCTTATTACCGCCATGATCTCATTCTCTCGGTCACTACCTAAAGCTCGCGTGCGTAGGTTTGGGTAGAAATGTAGATCGAGTGGTAAATCAACAGCTTCGCTTCTTTGCTCAGCTCTCTCTTCGCCACAATGGACCGCTACAGCATCCGCATCACTGCAGACTTCACACCAACCCATCTGTCAATCTCCCGCTCCCCTCTCCCCCAAGATGCTTTGGGGCAGCGCCTCCTCCCCGTAACTCTGTGCTTTGCCAAACTCATCACTGAAACAAAACAGCACGGATGCACCTCAGACCCTAAAATTGCTCTTTTGTTTTGCTGCTGTTATTTAAGCACTTGTGCGACCCGGTCAGCCGGACAACTAAACATCACTCATTGTGCTATTGCGAATCCCTTCAATCCATAACGCATTTAAAGTTTTCTGTTGTTTGAGTTTTTCATCAAACGTAGACTTTTTCTTTTTCTTTTTTAGATGCTGCACGACAATATTTGCACATTTCTTTTTCTTTTTTTTGTCAGTAATCCTGTTACGCCTCAAGGACTAGCTTACCCTCCTTTATACAGGATCTGTGGAATAAAAGTGCAAAATTGAATTATTTCTAAGGTTGGATGTTGTTTGATATTATATTAGTGCTGGCGTATTGACTGAACTTGGTAAAATATTTCCATTGTATGCCTTACAAGTTTAAACTTATTTTCTACTGATTCCTGAAGGGGCTTGTGAAACTTCAACCAAGGCTGGTTATGTAGCTGTGCACACACAGGCTAGATGCAAGACAGAGGATTTCAGTAATGGCAACCACTGATAAACAACCCAGCAGCATGCGTAGGAGAGTGTGTGATGAAAGGAATCGGGGAAAAGGAGTCAGGCCACGCAGCAGCAGACGAAGGTAATTAAAGAAGCCATCATCAGCATCATTAATATGCTAGATCTGCTGTGGCCCACTGACTAGTCTAATGGAGAACATGTCATCATCGTCACCATTAGGGAGAGTGGGACACACATAAACACACGCACACACTGTCTTAATGTTGGGTCACGCCACGATTACCACCATTAAGCCTAGAGTGAGAAGGCCTGCTTAGGAAGCCTCATTCTCTTTTACCATCATACATGCACGCATACAGTGCACACACAGAGCCCCGCACGCACTTGTGGATCTTTAATTCAGACCATGTGAGTGATAAGTATGCATATTTAAGTGATGTCAGGCCTGTTGGGTCTTTTAATTAGACAGAATGAATGAATGTTTTATAAAAACGTGTTTAACAATAAATGTGTTCATTAATTTGATGAGAGGATGTGCTCTGATGAGCTGAGTGGAACAGAGTAATGGCTCATATTCGGCTCTAGCGGTTTGATGGTTGTAGAAGCAACAACTAGGCTATCTGTTTCTGATTTTATACTCATTTTTATGTTCCTCTCATTACCAAGAAAAGTCTGCTTTGACGCATGTTTATCCCCTGACCTTGGACGGTTTGGTGGCTTTTAGTGAAAATACACTTTTGTCCAATGCGCAATGTGATACCGGTCCACAGCTCCATGGAGAATAGAAAAGATGGAAAATCTATTAACTTCTAAAGTCTCTACAATCATTTGCTCTCTTTCTTTTCTTTCTTCCTTTTATATTTTCCATCTGCAGGTATGCTTTCAGGTTTGTCATGAAAGTTCATTCAGATGTATAGGTTCAGAAAAAAATGTTGGAGTCCAGCAAAGTCTAGCTTGCATCTATTGAAAAGCGTAGGCTGGAACGACTCGGGCATTTTTTCTTCTTCTTCTTCTTTTTTTCTTTTTGGTAGGATAAATAAAAAAAATAATTAATTAAAAAAAGAAATGGTACAGCAGCTGTAAAGATTTGAAATCTTTCACCAGCGCAGGAGTAGTCAACTCATATTCTGGAGTATAAAGCTGAAAGGACAAGAGGTATCACCAAACTTGGTTATAAATGCATTTTGTTGCCCCTTTTAGCCCCCATCATCTGCTAAAATATTTGTGCAACAAAACCAATCTAAATGTTAAGCAGGTGTGCTGACTTACTCCTCCCCACTGTTGCAGTGGCACCTCCTTGTCTCCCCCCCCCCCCACCATCCGTTTTCTACAAATGTCCCTCCCTCTTTCTCACAAACCCTTCTCTCTGCCTCCCTTGACACTGCTGGAAACAGAGTGATGATGTGTAATTTAGACCTAATCGCAACATCAGAGTTGTGCTGCGATTTACATCCCTCCACTAGCTGAGCCAGTCAGACAGTCAGGAGGGAGATGTTAATGTGAGACCGCAGGTAATTACTGTCATTACAGCATGCCGCAGATCCTGCCAGTGTACGCGCGCCCATGTGTTGCGTGGGTGGGTGTTATTTGATCTTTTGAATGGTATAGCTTGATATATTTGCGCTTATAATTAATATGGGTGTGTTAATATGCGGGGGTTTTGCCAAGACGGCTTAAACAGAACTTTTTTCATGTGAATATGCGTCAGAGCACGAGACAAAACACAAGATGAAGTCACAAACAGTGACAATATTTACTCCACTGTTAATGTAATTACAATCGATAGCCTGACTCAGTTTATTCTTCAAAATTGAATGATTTGCTTGATGTCATTTCACCGATCCCACGGTTTCTCTTCAGCGCTTATTTGCTGAAATGCAACCCTTCCTTAATCCAATCCTAATTAAAAGCGCAATTTTTCATCATGTTACGCAAACTGAATTATTAATTATGTGTCACTGGCGTCTTCACAGCCTCATTGCTTACTCTTATGCATGTTAGTTCTGTTTTTTTCAGTGGATGCATAAGGTATTAAACAAATGAGTGTCTCATGGATTTCCTTGTGTTGCAACAGATTTGAATTTTTACAGTGAAAGAAAAACAAAACCCGATGCGTTGTCTGCTGCTTCGTATTTTCTTGTGCAGGTGAAAAATTCATCAGCTTTAGAAGTTGTAAACTTTTGAACTGGTGCCTCTGTTTGTAGCCCTGGGCTGACTGACTTCTGTCAGATAAACTCGTTAATATTTTAAAAACCTTGACCTCAGGCAACTAAAAGTGTGGGTTTTTTTTCTGTTTTCCTGCAGCCCATCTGGATATGGGCAAAACATATTTAATGGATGCTCAATCATCAGGAAACAGATGCCGAGTTCTGAAAGTTTTTGGACGCTACAGACAATAATCTCTTTTATTTTTAATGCTGATAGTTTTTTGTTGGCTAGTCATTGCCTCCTTCACTTTTCACTACCATTATTTATCCTGTTATGCTCACTTGAAGTCACTGGATGATAAAATGAATTATAATGATTCTTAATCACTTTTCTTTGTTTGATTGCTCGGGAATACAATTTCTTTCGCAGCAACAGAATCAGTCTTATCTATGTGTTAAATTTAAATCTTCTTTAACTTTCTGGAAACACGTTGGCAATATAAAACAATAAAATATATATTTTGTGCACGTGTGAGATTGAAAATACACATGCAGATATACACACAGATGCACACCGTGCTTGATTCATCTCATACCTGCAGTTGATATTTTGACATTTCGGGTTAATCATTTGACATTTTTATAAACTTAAATCACGGCCCACATATTGGAAACTTTTTCTGTGTTTGCTCAAGTCTTTGTGGGAAGATGGTATGGCATATCAAGGTGTTTCTATGGCGATAAGGGTAATATGTCAGGGTCCCCAGAGTTTAGGCCTGGAAAGGTCCTGACTGATAAGCAGAATGAAAAAGTCAGCAGTTTGGCCAGTGCCATCCAGTCCCTGTTAACCCCACACCCATCTTTTCCCTTTCTCCAATCTCGCCTCCAGTCTGCTTCTGCCCCTCCACCCACCCACCAAATCCTCCATCTCCCCTCCCGCCTGCTTAATACCTCACCTTGCTATTTATACCTGTGTCTGCAAATGCCATCTCTTTCATCCTCCATTATTCTCCATTTACCTAATTTTTCTCTTGTGTTGCCATTATGCTCTATTTTTGACATTTAGTCTCACCCTTTTTGCACCCCCTCTATTTAAAGCATTACTTACCCTGCTTTTTAGCTTTTCTTTAATCACACCTTTGCTCCCCTCCACCCCACATTTATATTTAATATGATGTTTGCATCTGAGCGTGTGCACAGGCGTGTCTGTTTACAAGACAGAGACATGCAGTCCATAAATGTGTGAAGCTGCAGGATGTTAATATTTTTAAAAAATACTTTAAGCTGCTAACCTGTTTAAATTACTTGGGATTTGGTTAGCGTGAATATCGGTGTGTACTTCACTAATCTGCTGGGTAAAGTATAGAAAAGGGGGCAGTATATCTGCAATAAGGAAATGCTGAAAAGATTGCAACTGCTTAAGTTTTGATGGATAATTCTTGGCTACTGTATCGACTGTAGGTGATCACGCTCCGGTCAGAGATGGAGGGGACGCGGTCTGACAATGCAAAGCTTCTGCACGAGAGCCAGCTGGTCATGACTAATGTCAACCTTTGGATCACTGAGCAAAAGTATGGACACTCCCAACATGTTTTTTGTGAATTTAAAAAATAAAAACAGAGGATTTAAGGAAATAAAAGGAAGTTATTAATGTTTTCTTAGTTGGCACATGCTATAAAATATGTGTGTATCATATAGTGTACTGTTATGTGTAGCTACAGTTCAAGGTCAATCTACAAAATACTTTATGTTGTAGAAAATATTGATTTTATATATTTAAACCTGTTTAATGGTGCATTTTGATCTATTTGTTTATATTCAAACAACTAAAGGACAGCCAAAAACTGTTGATGTGTTAGTTTGTGTAGAATTACATTAAAAAAATGTGTCTTCCTTACTAAGGGCTTCCAGTGAGAGCATTATTGCCCAGATTAAAGCCCAAAACAAAGCTCTGCTTGTCATCACTAAAGAGAAAGAGTAAGTATATTTGGCACAGCGATATTTTTCAGTAGCTAGATTTGTTTGCGTTTGTAGACAAGTATGTTCGAATGAATGCGTTTCAACCCTGTACATCGCTTTATTTAGGGAATATGACTGAAGATGGTCGGCGGTGGTTTGGAAGTGAGGCAGCATGAAGTGTGTCTGTGTACGTGTGTGTGTGTGCATATGCTGAGGTGATTCAGGTAGACTCCCTGACATACTCACACCTGACAGTGTTTCTGTTTAGTCATGTCTCATAAATACACACATACATGGGCGTGACATATTCTTCATGCCAGAGATCAAAGCTGTCTAGCTATAGTGCCATACGTTCATAATCCCCACCCAGCACCACCGTAACCATGTTCTCCTCTGTCTCCACTCACATGTGTCCTCGTTCATGTGTGCTCGTGTGTGCTTATGTTTTTGTCATGTTACCATGTGGCTCTTGTGCATAACAGACTCCATACACCTTTGTCGAAATCACATCTCCCTCAGTGGTTCCTTTTCATAATGAACACAGTCCTTCAATATTCCCTAACCGGAAAATGTCTGCTTCCCGCCCCCCCTGCAAATAAAACAATTTCAGAATTCTTAATAGGTCTGAAATTGGTGGGCAAGGCAAGATACTGAAATAGATAGTCACTAGGGTAAGTGATAAATGCTGTGCAAAAAGAATTGTGTTATAATGGACTACAGTATATGCGTGTATGCGATGATGTCTGAACTGCTAGTTAAAGGCTGCTCTGGAAAAGAGAGAAACGCGGTCATCACTGAAAGACTATTTTGTCAGCAATGTTAACAAGAGTCTCTTGATGATAATAGGTGTCTGCTATTCTTCCTCTCTATGTATATTTCTCTGTTTAACGCGTCTCTCTGCTTTTGTCAGATGCCTTCAGGAGGCTAATGACACACTGAAGGCGGAGGTAAAGAGACTGAAAGAAGCGGTGGATGAGAAGGAGAAAGACATGGAACTCTTCAAGGTGAACAGGGGCAGAGTGGAAAAGCAATGAACTACAAATAAGGAGATACAAGAGCGAGTCAATCATAAACAGGTTTGTTTTTTATAATTGTTTGCAGGCCCATCTCCGGGACTGGGGAGTACAGCAAGACAGGAAAACGTGAGTCATCTACATTTATGTGGGCACGTGTATGTGTGTGTGTGTGTGACCACACATTTAAAGGCATACGTTTGTTTGCATTCAGCAGCTGATCAAAGTTTAGCATGTAACAAAAGCCACCACGTTTGGCTCTTTCGCACACAATCTGGTCGGAACAAAGCTGATGATGATAGTAACAGCAGGAGTGCCAAGTTGTGAATGAAACGCCCCGCGGGCCGGGCCACCTGTGCGTAGCAGTGCCCGTGTGTGCGCACGTGCTGCTGTTTTATTTCTTCTTCGTCAATCTGAATATGTTATTCATGCTGGGCCTTTAACAATGATTACACTTCAATCAAGTGCCCATCCTCTCCTGCTTGCCACCCCCGTGGCTGCCAAATAGCATTCATCAATAGAGAGGAGATATATTTATTATGTTCATTAAACCAATGAAAACGAACGTGGCACAGATGGGATTGGGTGTAGGATGGAAGTGAGAAAAGAGGGTGCGCGCGTACGGGAGAGGGAGTGTTTGTGGGGGCACCTGCCTGCAGCGCTACTCCCCATACCCCAAGTGTGAGCCCCCCTAAGGTACCCCTCATTAACAGCTCCCCCGCCCACGCCCCATTCTAACCTCACCCCGTTTTTTTTTTTTAACATGTGCTCATGTTGCACCCCTCCCCTAACAAACCACCAGACTCTGTTTCCAAAACGGATCAGATTTGTTTTGACTGGGGTAGGTTTCCAGTGCTATTCAAAGCTGTCAGTCATTTTAATGATATCATTAAGGGGCCGCGACAGAAAGATGAATCGCTTTTCTTTGTCTTTCCCTCATAATTGCGAATGAGCAAGTGAGAGGGACAGAGTGAGAGAGGCAGTTCATATAGATGTATGCATAAGAGAGGGTTTTGATTGAGCGAATATAATAACACGGAACGAGATAAAAACAGTGAATGAAAGCCTCTTCCATTGTGTCACCCCCATCCAGCCCCTCTTCCTCCTTTGCCCCCCTTTTTTATTCCATTCCTTCATTATGCTGATTCCTAATTTATTTTATTTCATTAGTATGCCCACACCTTCCTCCACACTCGCACCTACCAAAAAATGCCATATGTGTTAAAATTGCACTTCTATAAAGCAATAGATAATGTCATGATTGCAAGGCAGCCGTATACATTCAGAGTGTAAATTTCATTACTGGTGGGACAGGGGGTATCTTAACAATGTCTGTCTGCTGTCACTATCACTGACAGCAGTCAACACGGGGTGAAGGTTTTGTCATTAGATATGCCTTTATTAAAGAAATTTATTATGATTACCTGACCTACTGTTATAAAGCTGCTTGAATGAGAAGGCCTTTCATTGCATTTGTTATTTTGTGAAAAAGTAAAGCCCACAGGGAGGCGCGGAGAGGCCTGATGGAGGGGACCGCAATTGTGTTAGCTCGGTAAACGAAATTTTCTGCATTTCTCAACCTCAACAAATTACGTAAAACTCAACAAATTACGCAAAACTGAAGCTTTTTTACATGCAAATATAAATCTTAAGAGTCAAAAATGATATTGGCATATTTATTTGCATTTTCTGCTCAAAATCCACCTAGTGGATGAAGGATAAGGAAATCTCCAAGCATCAGCCAACTCGTAGCTCAATTTGCTGCCATAACGGACGGGAAAACTTAGATTTAGACACGCAGATCTAATAAGCGCTTGTTAATAAGGTGATGTTTTGACAAAAAGCATGTCTGTCTGAGCAGACATTTTTGTGTAACGGTGTTTACACTACATCGTGTCTATCCAAATCCATTTAGTAGCCGTTTCTGTAATCCTCGTCAGCAGCTGTTTTCCAGATGTTGTAGAATTGTAGATGTTCAAATATATATTTTTCTTGCACTGTAATCCCTTAAAAGCCTACTAGGAGTAACGCTTCTGAACTGAGCTGTTTCTGTTATATTTCAGGCCTCTCCATAGGACAAAATGACTGGGTGTGCATTGAAAGTTAGTGAGGGTGGTCTCTGCCTATGCAGCTACTCTTGCAAAAACTCGGAAACTATTCTAATGGTCGTCAAATTATTCATCTGAGGTGCCAAAAGTCGTCTTGGTGGGTACAGGGAAGACCACATTTTTCTGGGGGAAAGAGTTAAAAAGTAAGCAAAACTTTATCTGTTTACCTTAGAAACCTTGTTATGAGGACAGTAATATCAATGCAGGGGTGTGGCTCTGGACATAGAACAGATTGTAGAGTTTGATCCTAAACAATGTACAATCTACAGTCCATATGTCAAAGGTTTTTGGCCACGGAGACCAAATTACATCTCTTATCAAACTAACACCTTGCCTTTCATTTCCACTGTGTAAATAAGTAGCCGAGTGTTAAAGTAAAAAGCTATTTTGCCATTACGGGTAAAAGCGGTATTGCTCAAACTAAAAAACAATGATAGGAGTTGTTATGTGCACAATTAATGCCCTGGATCGGTGATACTAAAAAGGTTTGTTACACTCTTGTTGCGCAGTAACATCATAGTGTCAATTAACAATCTCATTAAAGCCCCTCATGATAATCACTTATACAAGTGTCTTGTACCTCCCTCTAAAGTGCTGCGTGTGGCCTGATGGGTTTCGATGCTGCTTGCCCCTCCTTTCCCTCCCACCTCTCTCCTGCAGAAATGCTTATTAAGAAGAAAAAGAAGAAGGATAAACTCTGACAACAGACATTACAACCCAAAAATGATTTCTGCTAATATCTGAAAATATGATACCAGTACACATTGATATGCAGTGAGTGGCGGAAACAGAGATTGATGCTGTTTGCCTCTGGCAGCACTGACTCAGTGGCTGCCTGACACAACCCATGTGGGGGAAGCGCTCATAAAGCATCAGGCTTCATCAGTTGCACCGCTAACGATGTGCTTCCAATTAAGAGCACCCAGTGATCACAGCAGAGGATTTGTACAAACAAGGAGAACCAAAGTGACAGAGAAGCAGAAAGCGGCGATGAGAGGGAGGCTGTGTGAAAAGAGAGCCGAGCCTTGCATAAAATTTACAGCAAAAATGAGGACAGTAAATAAGAAAGATGAGTGAGACTGGAGCAGGAGAGGAACCACGTAGTTTATTGCCTGGTTTAGAGAGCATGGCCGCTTGGCTTTGACACTAATGACTGTAATTATACACACACTGATTGGATTAGGCTGCTAATTACACACATCTGTGTTTGCGTGTAAACACAGGAACACATGTTTACACGGGCGCCAAGCCAAGCGCTCGGCACTTCGCCGGTTTCTCACATCGAGTGCATAAATCTCACACAGTTGTCTCAGCAGCGGAGATGATTCATGATCTGCTGAAGACCACATTACCGCGTAGGAAAGCGTTTAAATCATTTGAGGAAAATGTGTAGATGTGGCGCTTTGGATTTTATGGAATTGGCTTGTGGTTAAAGTTTGTGTCTTCTGTTATTTTTTTTTCTCCCCCTTCGCTGTAGCAATGGAAACTCATGGAACTCGTCTTTCAAGCGGCATTCGAAATTTGAAAGATCAAAGGAAATTTCTGCATTTCTCTTATTAATGTTCTTTGTATCATCATTAGGGTGTGAAATTAAAAGATCTGCAAGGGTCAGTGGCAATTATGTTCAGTTTATAAATGTCATTTTCAGGAAATTAGGTTTTCTTACTTATATTGGCCAAGCTAAATTAGTTAGTTGGCTAATATGCAGGGACTCAGATTATATTTTGTCAGCTGGGGAATGTATGGATTGGTTTTTTTTGTGTTTCTCTTGCACATATTTGGGGGAACTTATCAAAAATATTCATGTTATCTAGATATATTTATAACTGTAGTTTGTTTTTTGCCATTAAAAAATTGTGTCTTTTTTTGGAGCAACCATTTCTTTTTTTCAGTCTCGAAGCTACATGCTATAACTCAGAGTTGTATGATGATCCATAGAAATGCAAAATAATATTACAGCCATATAAATGATTCAAAAATCAGAGAAGGAAATAGTCAAGAGATTGCTGGGTACCGTTTTTAAGCAGCGTTATAACTATCTACTGTGTTTGCTGTTGCCTTTGTTAGCTGCAAATGCACGGGAGCCGAAAACAATGTCAATTCAAATATTTGTGTCTTCCTCAAGTGTCTTCCACATCTTAAATGGTTTCAGTTGCGACTAATAAGGGCAAAAGTTTATGACTGCGTGTGTGTGAGCGTGCGCATGCATCTACAGGAACAATGGGACTATTTATTAGCGTTTCAATGAGTGCGTGCATCTTCTCAGCTGAGGCAAAATGGGACCGTCTTCCCGTCCGCTGCTCTGATAGAAAATCCCAGCTTGCTCTTTTACAAGAAAATTAACATTGGGGAGGTACAGTGGTACTTTAATGGGCTAAGAACTCTTCAATAAAGTATTTAGAAGGTTTTTTTTTTCCCAAATGCTAACTGGACAGGTTCACTGGGGCATGAAAGAAAGAGCGTAAAGCGGGGGCAGCAAGCTCTTCAGCCCGTACAGAGCACCATTATCCACCGTCGTTAATTTAATAGACATTCCTTAGACAGCCCTCGGTCTGAAGATAGGAGACCCTAACATTTGTTTGTCATTTCCCAAAACGGTTTTAATAAACAGTTAAAATCTTAAATGGCTTCTTGTACTCTTAATGTTCCCTGGCTGCGCTTGCGTTTGTTTTGTTTTTGTTTTTTGCTGCTTTGTTTTTTTTCCCCAGCTTTATATGCACTTTCTTATATAATTTAATGATTTCTGGAACCCATTTGCTCACCCATCTTTGAGTTTAGTAATAAGTTATAATGAAGATAGTTATAATGAAGATGATGCACGCCAACTTCTTTATGCCCCAGATTTCCGAGGACATTTGACTGAAACTGTTCAGTCAGGCAAATGCATGTCATTGTGCAAGAATAGGTAGAAGCAAGTGTAAACTTAATGTGCTTTTTAAGCTAAACTACAGACAAGGCAGTTAAAGGAGCTGCAAGAAGGAAAGAGTTTTATTATTCTGTTTTTTCTCTCAGACCGCTAAACTCCCTGTACTGTTTTAAAGAGTTTATTTTTCATGTATGTTTGTTTGCCTGTGTGCATACACTTGTGTTGCAGCATGGAAAAGAAGGGCTGCGTCGCTCTAAACCTCAGCAAAATCGAGGACATGCAGACCAGACTGCAAAGCAACCTGGAGGCCATCGGAATGCTAAATCAACAAGTAAGCGCTCGTCCACATGCACGCACACAGACACACACAAGAACACATACACACCGGGTCCTGACAGTCCTTTTACCCGACAGATACAAACACACACCCACACACCAGCCCACCTGCTGTTGAGCTCACACAGAAGAGGAAGCTTTCATGCGTCCAACTTCAAACACACAAGCGCACTTACACAGAGGCGCACGCAGACATCCATTTCCTCTTCCTACGATAAAAGTGAAAAATCGGCAGCGGGGTGGGGTGCGGGATGTAGGGGGGTGTACGTGGTGTGGGGAAGTGGGGTGTGTGTGTGCGGGGGGGGGGGACAAATCGTATCGGGAAAAGGCAGTGACGTTCCTTTCCACTGGTAAATGATTTCCCTTTCATGAAACTGAGAGAGAGATGTATATCAATACAGCCGTGCTGATCTCTCCATGACAGCATAGGGAAATGGCCCGCTGTGATAAAACAATGTGGGGGAAAAAACACAGAGGAATATTCTTGGGAAATGCTGACATTTTTTACTGTGTTGAGCTTCACAAGAGTCAACAAATCACCAAAGAAGAGACAAATCAAAAGTACTCCTCAGCCCCCTCAGTTCTCCAAAACTCCAGGGCCTAGGGAGCGGCTCACCCGACTTTTGTTAGTTTGTGAAGTGGCCTGCTGATTGACGGGGTATGACAAAAGCTGGTACTTGTTGAAGTTTTAATGCAGTGTTGTTTCAGTGAAGAGCAAATGACATTAGCTGTGGGTTTAGGATAGAGGAACATGGAGAAACGCAGAGGAGAACTCAGACAAGAGAGAAAGAGAGAGGTGTTGTTTAACAGGTCAGGTGTGTAATAGCACCTCTTAATCTCTAGTGTGAATCATTACACACATCGATCCAACATGGACAGTATACACACACACATACACGCAGGCAGTCAGGAAAGGAGAGGATGTAAACACCTCACTCTGCAGTGAACACACTTGCGCGCGCACACAGAGCTATCAGTAAAGAAGTTGAATGGAATGACTCAGATTATGAAAGGCGTTGGGTTACAAATCAGGTCTGTGTCTCCTTGAATCAGTCGTATTTACTCATAGTAACAAACTGGTTTGACGCCGTCGCTTTCTCACTCGCCGAAAGGCATTATACGGAGCACATATGCATGATTTCCATCCGACTGTCAAGCCAATTTCATGCAAACTTTTGAAACGTCACAGAAAATTAACAGAGATGAAGACGAACACGAAAGGACTAAAAATCGAGATTCTTTTCGAGACTCGATCAGCAGCAGGGTATCGTTCTTCTGATGATATCCAGGTTGTCTCGTGGCTACACGCGACAATTAAAACAGGCATTAAGCAGCTGAACAGTTTTTATGCAACTCTTTTATAGTTCTGTAATTGCCATAATTTGCATTAAAACTATACAAACTGTGGAAAAATACACACGCACACATGCTTAACTCCCTTCACCCCTACTTATACACATCCTTGTGTCCTTTTCATCCACATATATGCACACCAATTCACCCACGGAAAGTTAAGGTTGAGAAGACAAGCTGTGATTTTTAATTTCAACCCCCCCGCCTTACAATTAGAAAAGCATCCAGAGCCACAAAAGATGAGAAAAATTAAACCGGTCGTGTGCAGTTAATTATAAATGTCAGACTCTGTGTTTTTCATCTAGAATTGTTATTGCTTTTGGCATGACTGAAAATGGACGTGTGGAAGGAGGTTTGCCTGTTGAGGATAGTAAATACCTTTTAAGCATCTTATGATCGTTTGACACGTCGACATGCCATTGGTTCTTCGAGGGTTAAGCCTAAGACCCGTGCTCAGAGTTTATTGAGCATGTGTGTGTCTCTCTGTGTCTGTGTGCATGCGTACGATGTCTGGACGGGTAATATTAGCAGAACCATCCGGAAATGTGTCTGTCTCATCTCCGTTTGTGTTTTTCTCTCTCCTTCACGCACACACACACGCAGACTCACACATGGCCAGACATGTTAATGTGACATCATTCTTTAACCGCAGTTTTTACACGCACACACACACACACACACTTAAAAACAGATGTGGATGAGTGCAACTGTCATTACCCGATGAGTCTTTTTTGTCTTTACATCCTTTAATTTCTTATTTTACTCGTACTCACAGCTAAAAATACATTATTTCATATCTTTTGCTCTCTTTTATCTACCTTATTACAATTTTTAGACTGGCACATTTTGCATATAATTACCGAGCTTTTACAACAAATATAAATGCTTTTACCTTTTGTATTAAAAGCCATGTTTTAACTCACACTCCACGCTGCCTTTACCCAAATGTCCTTGTCACACACACACACACAAATAAAACAAAAAATCCTCAATTTAGCTAGTCTATAATTGTGTTTCAGGGAGCCCAATCATGTCCTGACGATGTGCGATTTGTTTTGTGTCACGGATGATTTTGTGTCAAATCGACCTCTAATGATCGCTCAAATTGGCTGTTTTCATGTAGAAATTTACACTGTCGCATGACTCCCTCTTGCAACCATTTCAAACTGTGAACACAATACAATCCTGAACCCCATCCCCTTGCAATTTTCCATTTGCATTTCTGTTTCAACAGGCATGAAAGCGACTGTGAAAGATGATGAATTAATCACATAATGGAATGTCAGTTACTTGATGAGCACGATAGCTGTTCACTTTTGATGGTTGATATTTATTGCTAACTTTGATTCGAGTTGTGTGATTCCACTGCTTCGGCTAAAGGAGAGCCGTGTTTTTTGGAAACTTGTCAAAAATTTGCCACTGTTCCTTTGGCTACACAAACATATTAATCTCTTTGTCTGCACATGTGCTTCTCTGTGTATGTTTCTTTCTTTTTTTCTCTGTAGTTAGGCAATCTCAGTCAGGAGAATAAGCGGTTGCGTAGGCAGCTGGAAGAAGAGAGGTCCATGCATAGACAAGTGGAGAGGAGTGTGCCCCTTCCTCCTCCCCCTACAACCACCATCCACCTCCCACTCTCTCTCAGTGTCAGCCCTCCTATCTGTGCCTCCCTTCCCTCATCCCTGGGCCTGCCTCGTCTTCTGAGTATAGTCCCAGTGACAGGGGACACTAATGGGACTCAAACCAAGCCGACTACAGTCGGAGTAGGGAGACCAGGTGAGTCCAAGGCTTCGGATAAAGCGTCCTTGATTAGGCCGTCTTCCAAGTGCGCTTCCTCCGCCTCTGTGGAAGATGCCGGGTCTAAGGGGACAAGCAGGAATCCGGCAAAATGAAGCCCCCTGAAGACTTTGACCTGCCATGGCTTTTGACCTTCAGCTTCTCGCTGGGGAGCATACCCAGGATGAGGTTAATGTCCTGCAGGTCAAAGTCAAGTCCCACAGTTCTTTGTGCCTAAGGGGGCGCTCGGAAACAGAAAATAATGGAATTTCTTCAGCCATATTTATAAGGGTACTGCTGTTCCATGCAACGATTTATGCCAAGAAAACGTTCACATTGACAGATTACTTAGATAGACTTAAAATTATGATAACTGACTGTGTCCTCAAAAATATTACAGTGCTTCAAGCAATTACATCTTCAATTAATAATATTATTCTGCAGCAAAACTGCAGCAGTGAGCACAAAATCTCAAATGCACTTATTTGAAAATTCCCAACAGTTCACTTGAGCTATACCCAGATTTTTGCACCTTAAATGCACAAATGAACTAATCAAAACAAGAAACTTAATGTAGATAGAGTTAAACAGTAGATCTGAAGATGAGTCCCGCTTGGATAAATGAGAAACAGCACATGATCCATCCACAGGCGTGGTTCAGACGTTGATGTAAATGGCAGTAACGCAGCCTCTGATTATGCTCCAGCTGTGCACCACGTGTCCCGCGTCTGCTGCGGTGAATGTGGCCGTGCGTCTCTATGTTTGAGTACATTATGTGTCTGTGTACTTCTGTGTCTCTTTGAGAGACTGTGGGCGAGCGCGTGCTCGCGTGATTGGGTGTATTAGCTGTCTGATATTATGTTTCATACTTTCAAAACTGTTTATTGATTTTTTTTTCTGTGCCCCGTATTGTGACGGTAGCAAAATAAAAACACATATTTGCAAGCGGCTTTATATTCCTCCCCACTTTTGTTTTGCATGTCAGTGTGCCAAAAATATATTATTTCTGCCAGTTGGATGCTTGTACTGTAACAATAACTGGCAGTGGTACTCGTTAATTAGGCTTTTGTAAAAAAAATTATACGACTGCTGAGTCAGGCATCGATGCTGATACGGGTAAGTACCTTTCTAGGAAGTAAAATCGTTCCATTAAAAGATCTAAAATGAGTTTGGGACCTGGGATAACATGTAGCTCTATAGGGCACGCGTTCCTCGATTCATGTTTCAAGTGTTTGAATAAGAGCAACTCTCATCCGCACAAATAAACCCTCGCAGAGGAAGCATGTGCATATCCAAAGTTATAAAGAGGGAACACTGTGATAATGAGAATTCTAGGAAAAGCAGGTCTCAGGCCACAACTGGCTTCTTCATCTTGCCTTTCTCTGTCACCGTGTCCACCTTCCTGTCTTCCAAACCCACTTTTTCTTTTTTTTTATCCTTCATTGGTTCTTTATATTTATATATATATATATATAGCGGTTGTATAGCTGGTCAGGATGTCATACATTTTAATGATTTCGAGCGGAGCTGCATGTCCTTGTTAGCTTTGTTTTCCTCATTTGCCATGTCACACTCAAAAATATCCTTTTTTTATGTGCAAACACACACGTGTGCACCTACCCACACATCCACACACGCATATTCTTTTCACAAACACACACACTTTCACAAATGGCACAGTCATTAAAAATGAAACCACAGGCTTTTTGAAAACTCCCAGGACTGAGGGAAAAGTCAGCAGCGCGGCGGTGAAAAGAGTCCCCCTGGAAACAATGAGGAGAATGATCATTTGTTGTTCTTGAAAACCCGGTGAGGTTTCACAGAGGTTAAGCTTCCCTTTGATGTGTTTTTAACTCGTTTCAGCTCTGTGGAGGGATTAGTCAGCCTCTCTCACACACACACAAACACAAATGCACACATTTACGCACACAAGTACATGCAGGCTCTTAATTTCCACACCATGAGCTCTTCTCTCACAAAGACAGAAAAGCACACTACGGTCTCCTTCCTAACCTAATTTTATCAAATGAGCATGTGTGGTACTTCACTGCTGTGTGTGTGGTCCCTTGGAAATCTGTGGTAAACCAGCAAAATATTGCATGTCAGTATTTTTTTTTTTTATCCCAAATTAGCGTCGGGCTGTTAGTGAACAGTATGGGCCCTCAACCGCAAGAGAGATTTTAAAACAAAAAACAGAGAAGTTGAAGATAATCTTAGCACTCATTACAGTGTTTACGACTTATTATTTGATCCCCATTTCAAGATACAAATGATTGGGATGCTAGTGCCCATGACATTTGTGTGTGTATGCTCTATCAGCTCCAGTCTGGGCTTCCCTGTAGGTCTCTGCATGGTTGCCTGTGCTAATAATCATACGCAAATATTGTGTTCAAAGCTTGTCTGGTAAGCATTTGTGGTACAAGAAACTTTTGCAGGATTTTAAGAATTTATTTCAGCCAACTTGGAGCAATAAATGGGTGTAGATAGACCACACCTGAGCAACTCAGATAGAGCCTTAGCTCTGCTAATAAACTCAACAGGAAAGGTTATTAGTTGCCACAACAACACATCTGGTATTTTTTTCACCTTGTGAGTTTGTGTTACAGCAAAAACCTGCTGTAGCAGAAATCACGAAAGAGATGGTGCAAACTATGTTCGCGAGTGTTTCTTTGTAAGCTGACATTTTGTCAAAATTCATTCAATAACATTTACAGATGTGTTCCCCTTGAATAACTTGATTCAATTCAATATTATTTATATAGCTTTACATCACAACAGTGCTTTATATTGTACGGTAATGACACTGCAATAATAGTACAATATGAGCAAGCACTTGGCAACAGTGGGAAGGAAAAACTCCCTTTTAACAGAACCAGGCTCATGGGGGGGCAGCCATCCTCTGCGACCGGGTAGAGGTGTGGAGACTCGTGTAAGTGTGCATGCAAAAATAATGTGGAAATGAAAATGTAAGAGCGTAGTGAAGACAGTAGAGCTGACTGGCATCACAATAGATCATCTTTCCAAGATGATCTTTGTAATGTCTTCCATCTATAATTTGCTTCACTTATTATCATCTTTAGGATTCCTGGAGAAAATGGTAACATTTTTTAAATGAGGGATTTTCATTTCAATCTTTACTTCAACAAAATGCATAAATGTTATTCCGTTTCACTTGATTCGTTCGATAAAAAGTGTCTCTCCTTAAGAGGAATGGCTTGAACAGTAGTGGCATCTGTGCCCGACCCGCTCTGATGTCTATAAGCACATAGTCGGTTAATTGAACCACTGTCTGCTGATGGGCTATTTAGCCAATCACTCATTTTCATTCAGGCCAAATTTGTTCCATGTCTAAATATCATCTCTTCAAGTGACTCATTAAGCCCCGCCCTGAGTCACTGTCAGGGCTGTGGATTCACTGTGGTAGTGTAGTGTAGGCCAGGCATACTGCACCCCATCTGAGTGGAACAAAAGTCCGAATGACCTCCCAGGATTCATCAGGCTTCTTCTTGTATTCTTTTGCAAAGTTCAACATTATCGTTTGAACCAAAGAGCACAAAAGCGTTTTTTCTTTGTCGTCTATTATTTAATGTCCTTCGAACTGTCTAAGCTGTCACTGAAACTCAGATTTCCATTGATCCTATACTAAGTCTGAAGTCCTTGCTCTTGTCTTGTCTGGCTTTCACTGCTAGTTTGTACATGCAGCACATTCTCCAAAGGTTTATTTTAGGAGGAAACCACTGTGGCTGTGATCGTTGGTACTGTGGCCCATTCTGTACCTCCTAATTACTGCTGTAGAAGTGTGCTTTAACTCATTGTTAATTGATCATGTGTCTTTCTGTATGACCTTCACACTTAAAGCCAATCAGAGCAGATTTTTGGCAGTTCTTTCAATTCATATAGATGCATTGCACAGATTTAATACAACTATGGTGTTTACATGACAGTTTGTAATAATCAGGCTTATATGAAATATACTTTCTTACATGTGAAAGTTACCATAGTGTATTAGCTTTAGTTTCACTGAATTTATAAACTGTGGTGTTTGAGTATTCTAAATATAGTCTTGTTTTAGTCATTCATAAATGAAAATATTCTACTTGTCAGCTTAGAAATAATCCACTTATTGAGAGGTGATACAGCTTTAAATGAGTCAACATTTAAGTGACAGTGCACAGCGATGTACTCGCTTATTTTGCATACTAAATATGTATGACTTGTAGACTATAAAATGGCAATAAGCCTACATTCAAACTCTAACTCTTGCTTAAATGATAGTATTCCTTGGTATTCCTTATTCCTTGGAAAAAGGGAAAAACCTGTGTTCGCTTTTTCTAAGGACTAATTACAGTCATGTAAAAAATATCTATTTTGTCCGATGCAAGAAAAACAGAAAAGAGAATAAAGCTTCCACAAAGATGCAGTTGTGATGCAAAACTGTCCAATAAAAACTTGCATGTGTAAGATATTTCTGTACTCAGCAGCTAAGATAATAAACATTAAACCATACTTATTTCAGCGCTGGATTCGGATTTTATTCACATCATGTGTGGCACTATTGGGAACTGAGGCTTTTGCATTGCCAACATCATGCTTTTATGTTTTCTGTTGGACAACAGAAGACCACAAACATCGATTTTACAGTCAGCTGTTAACTCAAGTATCCCAATGCTACTTGTTGTCAGGAAAAATAAAACAACAGTTTTCTGACTAGAGAACTTTTTAAATTAGGCAATACTGAGTGTTCCCAGATTGTCGAGCTAATCTGGGATGGGCGGGGTCAGTGGGGACGGGGTTTACAACATATTGGAGTCCAGTAACCATTTGTCTCTTCTTTACAGTGTGTGTTAAATTGTATAATTAGCGCACAGTTTCTTAAATCATGGCCACAAATCTGTTTTGTAAGGTTCCTTTTTGAGTACAAATGAATCACTGTGTCAAATTTCAAAGAAGCCCCTCAAGGTGTGGAAACAAAATTCGTTTTCATCATCGTCAGTTCATCCTTGAGTCCAAGTGAACATTTGTATAATAAAATTCCCCGCAGGCATCTGATATATCACCTTCACGAAAGCGGGACAGATGTGAGGTGACCCTGAACTAAGACCTACAAAATGCAATCAGTTCATCCTTGAGTCCAAGTGAACCGTTTTGTCGAGTTTGAAAAAACTTTCTCGAGGAGTTTAAGAAATATCATGTTTACATGAATGGCATGGACAGCTTGAAGACGTAATACCTCTGGCCACAGCTGTTTGTGGAATAATATGTTTATTAAATTTATTGAACTACCAGAGACGTGTAACCTTGAGGTGTACAGCTTAGTGGCCATGATGTAGGTACAATTATTATTGCGTAGCAAATAGCAGACAGCTTACAAAATATATTAATGAAACTGAAATGAAAACTGGTGCATCTTCCATTATCTACTTGGTTGCCTGGAGAAATATATCTTACAATTATTAATTAAGCTCACAAATGAAGAGGATCATGAATGTTGTGCGTATGCTATTAGTCAATGAAAGTGAAAAGCTGCCCTGTTTACCGAATGCACAACTAACTAAGAAAAAGAACCAATATTTTGACCACAAATGGCCAAGTTGACAATATGAGCAATGTCTCAAAAAGTTTTACCCAGAAGTGAAAGAAGTAGTAAGAGGAAATGGAGGAATGTGCGACAGTAGGAGCCCTAGCAGGAAGGAGAGATTACAAGGTAATATGAGGCGAGGAAGCATTAAGGACTACAAGGAAAGGAAAAAGGAAGTGTAAAAGTAGTGAAAGAGGGATGCATGAGGGAAGAGACTGAAAGAATGTAGCTGGGGATTTGGGGAGTAAGTTTGGGACTGCTGGGGGAAACCAGAGTGAACGATGAATGCAGAGGGAGACTGACAAAGGAGGCAAGGAAAGGAGGTGCTGGGTGTGATTTAGAGAGCAGAGAGGTTGGGATGGGGGAAAGAGGAGAGAAAAGAAGAGGCAGAGGAGGAGTAATGGGACGGAGGAGTAATGGGACATTTAGAAAGAAAAGTGAAAAGTGAGAGAAACCTGTGACAAGAAGTATGAGAGATGAAGGAATGAAGAGACGCTGGAGACTGAGCGAGGGGGAAAGATGGGAAGGGAGCAGAGGGAGAGAAAAAGAAAGAAAGTGAGTAGTGTGAGATTTGGGGGTATATATGGAAGAGAGAGTGCCAAAGAAGAGCATATTGTCCTTATCGGCCTGCTCCAGAAAGCCTTCTCCCTAATGGGGCTGGTGTGAAGGGGAAATGAGGACTAGGCCTGATGCTACCTGATTAGCTATGGGCTCAAACACACATCAAAGGCTGGGAGGAGAGGAAGGAGTGCAAGGTGTGTATGAGTGGTGTGTGTGTGTGGTAGTTTGTGGCTGAAGGTGAGTCACCATCACCTCCTTCAGCAGGACCATGAATGAAAATCACTCCCACTTTCCGCACACACACACACACACATGCAGACACATGGCCATTTTCTTCAACCTTGAAAGGGAACGCTGCTCTGAATAAGGAGATCCTCTGAATGAGGAGGGGACAGAAGAGGAGGAGAGGGAGGATGGGGGATGAGAGAAAGGAGGGGTAAATAGATAAAAAGGCAGCGGGAGGCGTGGATGGGGTGGGGAAAGAGAGGGAGCAGGTAGGAAAGGGGAAAAAGAAAGGGGGGGGGGGTTGGAAGGAGACATCAAAAAGAGTCATCATGCTCCACATTAGCGAAATAATGAAATTTGCCTTTTAGCTAATGACATCTCACGACAGCTCTATTTTCACATAAATTACAGAAGGCCGGATCGTGTCTTACACCTGCTACCTTGGCGAAAAGCTCACAGACAAACACGCACCTACGCCCGGACACAAGGAAGCCAACCGGAATGATCAGTGCCAAGGCGGCGAGCAGTCAGCGTCCCTGTTTGAAATTCAACACTCCCGGAGACCTATATCCCATTTCTATCCCACACCCTGCATTCATTACTGCCACACACACTCACACAACTATAATCATATTCATCACACTCACCTCCCCTACCTCTCTCCCTAAATTCTATCCAAGGGAGCCCCCAATATAGAATCAGCAGCCGATGACCTTCATTAGTCTCCTTTTTCCCTCCCCTCTCTTTCTCTCTCCCCCACATTCTATATTTTTTATCTCTCCCTTTCGCTGTGTACGTTCACACATGTGGCCTCCCTTTCGGTGACTCCTCTTTACAAACACTTTGGGTCATGTTTCTAATTCTCTCAATTCTCTCATGTATTCTTCTACACACTGTTTCCTATTCCTTTTTCTATATTCCCCCACTCGTTTTTTTATCTGTCACTCTTTTCTCATTACTCCCGCTCTCTGTTTCATTAGCATACAGAGTAAGAAGATGGCGCTGGGGGTAATCTGCGTGAGTCACCAGTGACAAAATGGAGGGCGTCATCAGAGGTCGCGGCGCTGTCATCAGCCGCCAAACCTCCGCTGATGCCTGCCTGTCACACGCTCACGCGGGCATCACGCGTATTTGCAGCGCGCGACACAGAGAGAAGGAAACATGTATCTGTAATCAGGTGTGACAGATCACAGTGTAAATGCTACAATCTCACCTGACAGCCACGTACACACGTGCGGCGTTTGTGTCGCGGTGCCCCCCCGATGCAAACAGGCATTGACAGGTATCTGAGTGTATTCGGAGACTCACACAATAGCGGCTTTAATGAACACAGCCGGTTTGTTTTGTTTCAGTTTCTTCTAGTTGTTGGATGTATCGGGGGTTTTAAAGGAGGTGCTGTGCAGAGATGGACTGTGATTCCCTTTCAGACTGTCAGGAAGAGGTTTTTTTTGTGTGTGTATGTGTGTTCTGTTATTGCTAATCGGTTGAGTGGACTGACAGTCAAAATCTGCCTCTAATCAGTTTAATGTAACATCATCCAAAGAGAGATTTGTATCATTGGGACATCTTTTGCAATCAACAGCCCTCTGTCTATCTGTCTCTTCAACTTAACATATCTACAAATATTTGCTATTTCCTCACAGATCATGTTAGAGTTACAGTACAGATTACAGATTAGGTATTTACTGTATTCTTGAGTATGCTTAGTTAATAAAGCCTGAATCACTAAAGGAGCCACTGCATCGACAAGTGGCTGATACCAACTGGTAAAATGCAGTTAACTTTGCCCATAACTCCGATAAGCTAATCTACGTTTCATACCAAAGCAAAGTAGGGCTACACCATCATTAGACAATAGACACGGCTCCCTTGACATCTTCCATTGGGTTCTGAAGTCCTATTTTGAAGCCCCATGATGAACTTTTTGGTAACTGGATGTGACGAGGAGGGGTGGATCTGACCTTGAAACTGATGTTTCACCCAGATGAGTGACTGAGACCACGAACTCGGCAGGAAAACTGTTTACAGAGTCAAGACAGAAAGTTGTTTCCCCATCGACTTATATACAGGGTGGGCCATTTATATGGATTCACCGTAATAACATGGGAATGGTTGGTGATATTAAAGTCCTGTTTGTGGCACATTAGTATATGTGAGGGGGAAAACTCCTCAAGATTGGTGGTGACCATGGTGGCCATTTAGGAGTCGGCCATCTTGGATACAACTTTTGTCTTTTCAATAGGAAGAGGGCCATGTGACACATCAAACTTATTGGTAATGTCACAAGAAAAACAATGGTGTGCTTGGTTTCAACGTAACTTTATTCTTTCATGAGTTATTTACAAGTTTCTCTTTGTTCACAGCCATTGACATGTCGAAGAGGTTAACACGTGAGGAGCGGATCGAAATTGTGTTGATATCTGGTGAACGCAGTAACCGGGTCATTGCAGCAGATTTCAATGCAAGACACCCTACGAGACCACCCATCTCCCATGCTACAGTTAGCAAACTGCTTGCTAAGTTTCGTGAAACTGGTTCAGTGTTGGATTTGCCAAAATGTGGACGCAAGAAAACTGTCACTAATGAAGAAACATCAGTGGCTGTCCTAGCTTCATTCAGCAAGAGCCCACAGCGTAGCACTCGCCGCATGTCACTGGAGAGTG